AGATGTTTGGATGTAGCCCCCCCCCCCCCCCCCCCCCCAGTAAACTGAGAAGGGAAGCTCTTAAGTGTTTCACACATACACATCCTCCACTGCAGGGTTTAGCTCCAGTAGCCACACCCACCAGCTCTCCTTTCCACTCCATATGCATGTGGCCAGAATGGGCCACTGGTGCCATTAGCCCTATAGTGGGACAACACACTGTGGTTCTCCCTTGGTCGCAGGAGGCTTCTGAACAATGGCTCTTCACCTGTAGCGACTAAACAGTTGAACCAGCTAATTTTAGCTGGTTCCTTATCAACCACTTTAACCCTGCTTTCTCTCTGGTAGCCATTGCAAGTAGCAGGCTGTTCTGAGATGCCTGGAGGTGGCCTACTGTCAGCTGGTCATGGTAAGAATGGCCACTGTAGGCCAGTGGTAGGCAGCCCATCAGGGTTCTTTGTGGCCCACAAGATGCTTTGTTTCCTGTGGCCCCCACACAACTTGAACAGACTCCAAGTTTCTGTCCATATCAGTTTTTCCTACTAGTGGTGGCTTACATGGATGTCACTTCATGCACCCTTATTAAAGTGAGGCATGTGCTGACTGTACATAGCATTGACTGAGCGGTGCACTCCCTCTGGATCCAATCAAAGTGGTGCCCCAGTTTAATGTGTGCCTAGCATTTGGGGGGGGGGGGATATCCCAAAACTACCCTATCCTGGGAGACTGCCTTTGGTAGGGCACTCCTATGGCCCAGTGAGATGGGGGTGGGCACTTAGTCTTAATTGCTCCCTGTTGCTGTAGGCTCTTGTCTAAGCCTATCCACCTGTAGCAGTTGGATAGTACCACTTGAGGACAGGGACAAATCCTCAGTTCTTGCTACCACAGTCCCTAGGGGTAGCAATACAGACCTCTACACTCCAGGCTTATCAGCCCTGGCACCATCTAGGTTGCCCAAGCTAACCGAATCAGGCCTTCAGAAATGAAGCAGCAGGACCTGTTCCCCTTAACCACACCAGATGCTAAGGTGGCTTCTGAAGTTGAATCCCTGCAGAACTCTCCTATGGGGCTTTCCAAGAACTAATGATCAGGAGAAATATTCTCCTAACCATGTCCTGTGCAGGTCATCATCCTGAACCACCCAGGTAAGATTGCTGCCGGCTACTCCCCCGTGCTGGATTGCCACACAGCTCACATCTCCTGCAAGTTTGCAGAGCTCAAGGAGAAGATCGACCGCAGGTCTGGCAAGAAGCTTGAGGACAATCCCAAGGCACTAAAGTCTGGAGATGCTGCCATTGTGCAGATGATCCCTGGCAAGCCCATGTGTGTGGAGACCTTCTCTGAGTACCCACCTCTTGGTAAGTCTGGAATGGAGGTACAGTAGCTACTCCCCTCTGTAGTAGGGATATAACAGTATAGTCAACTAACTGATGAGCAAAAGCTTATTGGTTAATGTTATAGACTCATGCATTTCCACCTTCCCACTACTAAAAATTAACTGGCAGGGGGTGGCCAGCAGCCTGGCTCCTGCGGGGCACCCTGTACTGCTTCCTCTGATACGGTGGGGGGGGGCTCCTTGGGAGTGGGGCTGAAGCGCATTGGCTGCTGGCCTGGCCCCAGGGCTGTCAACTAACCAATAAGAATTTCATGAGGTTACTCTAATACTTAACATCCCTATTCTGTGGCACTGGTCCATCTGCTTTAACCAGTTGCCAGATAGCGACTAGTCGCTATCTGCCCTGTGTCTAGGTTGGTCAAAGACATGCTAGCATCTAATCTACTTGAGCTTCCAAGCCGAGTCAGAACTACTAACTGGCCAGTACAAGTGCTGGCCCCTGACTGCATAGAAGGCTGGAGGGCATATGCCCTCTAAGGCAGGGCCTCGTCCCGCCTCTGACTCCGCTCTTCTGTGGCTGCAAACTCTTATGCCCTGCCCAGAGTAGCATGCCAGTGAACTGCTATTGGAAGCCTGTGCCCAAAAGAGCCTTGTGCTGCCCAGCGCGACCTGGCTAACACCTCTCCTCCGGCAGGTCGCTTTGCTGTTCGTGACATGAGACAGACGGTGGCAGTGGGTGTGATCAAGGGTGTTGAAAAGAAGGCCAGTGCTGTTGCTAAAGTCACCAAATCAGCTGTGAAGGCCAGCAAGAAATGATCAGTGAGCAGCCCCAAACCCAGCAGGCATAATCACCATCTGGACACTTGTACGGGTGGGTCACTAAGCCGCAGTGAGGCATGCGTTGAGCCATGGATGGAATGGGTCTGCCTGACCCTTGCACTTCAACTTTTCTAACTGAATAAACTGTCCCTTTAAAAAAAAAAATGGCTTTGTCTGTCAACCTCCCTCAGCTGTAGCACAAGACCTCTGCCTCCTGCTGGCTCCTAATCACAAACCAGTGCTGTGGGGGGCAGGTGGTTCCATGGGAAACTTGTTCAGACCTGGGGGGGGCGGGAGAGGGCCCTCAGCCAGCAGTAGAATGGATCTTGCCC